AGGTTTTTTTCCGCTACACAGTTCTAACCATATTTCAAAAATATATATATGTATGTACATAAATGGCTCAAACACTAATATTCCATGGTTATATTTTATTACATTGGAATCGTAATAACGATCCAATTCATCAGATCTACAAATTTATAGGTCTTCTGAATTGGATCGTGATTACGATTCCAATGTAATAAATTTATAACCATGGAATATTAGTGTTTGAGCCGTTTATATTATATTCTTACTCTGTCCTTGACATTGAGTTCTACCTGGATTCTATCCTCTTGGGAATTTATATATATATATATATATATATATATATATATATATATATACTGACCACTAATATTATATATATATATATATATATATATATATATATATATATATATATAAACTTGCAAGTTGCTGAGACAAAGTTCAAAATTTACTAACGACGCGTTTCGTTGAGATCGCCTGCTCTCTTAGACTTCTTCAGGTTAGACTGAAAGAAATACAAAACAGTATGTGAGAAAAATGCCTTGGGTTCTCTGAGTATAAGAAGCGATTACAAATCAAAGTAAATTCAGTTTCATACTTTATTGCCTCCAATGTCTAAAACTCAAGAGAGTCCGGATTGTTTGTTTATATATATACACTACAGTTCAAAACTTACAGGCTATACTGTTATTTTTTTTTAATTGTCCACAAAGTAGTTGTTTTGCGCATTGAATAAGAGAAAATTATTATACATGGTTAAAAAAGTAAGACATAATTTTTTGTTAGAAATTTTATCGTAAAAAAGAAAAAAAGCATTTTATGATTAAATTTTGCTCTCAGCAAAATATCCTTCTTTAGCCTTGATTACTGTAGGACTAATGTTTGGCATTCGTTGCAAAGTTTCTCAAAGTATAAGTTCGATAATTTCTTTAATCTTTTTTCAATAACTAAGAGCTCTTCTTCATTTTTTTCACTATTCTGTCAAGATAATCCTTTCATAATTCTGGTGGTGGCTTCAAACTTGAACTGTAGTCTATATAAATGGTGTTTCATTAAGACGGATTATATATAAGGGTGTTTCATTAAGACGGATCAAAGTCAGCAGTAAATAAATCAGTGTTATTGGTGAAAATTTATGTATTTCTCTATTGGATCTTGTTATATAAGTCATGGCAATTATGTGTGAAAAATAATATCGCCTAAATATCCGCCAATTTTGAAAGTAAAAATCCTTAGATGCTTTAACTTAATTCACATTTAAAACTTTATAACTAATAACGATAATGAACATACAGATAAAATCAATTAAATTAACATTTGGTCAAAAGCCAAATATATGTCAACCATAAGAAAGACACATTTTCTCTTAATGTTGTGGTAGGATCCACCTAATTTGCATAGTGGAGTACCGACCATATAAATATGGTTGGTACCGGGAAGAGAGGGAGGAATCAAGAGATTCAACCCGAGACTCTGCCCGACTGCGACTCAGTCAACACATTCTCCAGGAACGGTCTTACCAGGAATATACAAAAGACTATATGTAAATATTGTGTACACTTTCTTGTTTCTATACATTTTGTTCTAAGTACCTTTTGTCTTGCATTATTATTCCATGCATTAGTCAAGTTCCAACACTTAGAAATATAAAGAAATACAGAACCCCATTCGACCTGAACAAGAAAATTAGATTAACTATTAAAAAATTAAAACAGCTAAAGTTATCATCAAAGTGACAACACACTCGAAAAATCAAAACTACAAAGAATCAATATTATTTACGAGCTCAAATGCTTCTTAAGGAACTCATAATTACACTGATCACACTGTTACATGCCTATCAAACAACTTACGTTTCACCTAGTTAACTATAGCTCCATTAGGACCAATTTAAACACACACAAAAAAACCAACCACACTCCATTCGAAACACATTAGTAGAAAATACAAATATAATAGCCTCATCCACATATAAAAAAGTTTAAAAATAATGGAAGCCCTAATAATAAAATAGAAAAGCCAACACTCAATAACACTATGAACATGGCCGCAATGTGCTGACCATGTTCTAAAATAGAACATTCGTATAACTTTAGAACATACATAAAAATACACATATTTAGATAAAATAAATAAACACGGGAAGATGTCGGCAGCCCGATACAAGCTGTCATTATGAAACTGCCTGTCATGCTCTGGTTTGTCGCAGCGGATGATGACAGGTGAAGTGTGTGTGCCATGGAGTGACGGCGACCCAAGGACCACCTCAAACAATACGTAGCCAAAGTTTTCCTGCTCAAAGGCTTTTCAACGAAAATATCAATGAGAACCCCAATACTCGCCAATGAGTTCCACCAACGATATAACTATCCAATAACATTCAAATAAGCATCGAAGTAAGGTACTGACCGGGTTCAACGATGCTTAACTTCTGTGATCGAAAAACCGGTGTTTTGACGTGGTATTACCGTAAGCATCCATACAGGAAAAATTCTGCATCCATTGACCAAACCGTGATACATATATATATTCTATTTCTTGAAGGGTTTTTTCCAGGAAATTACGCCTCTCAAGTCAGTTAATTTTTATCGCTCTTTTGAAAACTTCTAAGCTTTTTGTTTCTGGTTGTAAGGAAAGCTAACAGCATGATTATATCATTATTATTATTTTTGAATTACATGTTATTCCAACCACGTATATTATTCTTCATTATCTGCCGTGTCCTTTCATCATGTCTCTCAAAATCTCCCTGTCTCTTGTAGCTCTTAATAAACTGTGTCTTTTTTTTTTGTTATTACTCTTAAACCCTCTTCCGCCATCTATTTACTCAAGTTCACTAATTAAGTTATGCATTGTTTTCCTTTGCCCCTTTTGTTTTTATTCTGTCCTGCGAGTATAATAATTTCCAAGCCTTCTTTCCTCACTATATGCCATAAGAATTTCAATTCTCACTTCCTGGTGTTGAGTATGTTCACTTTTTGTTCCCATGTTCTCTAAAACTCATACGTTTGGCTCATAGTATGCTCAGCATCATTCTGTAGAATCACGTTTCTGTTGCTTCAAATCTCTTCTTCATCTTTGAGTGGATTGTCCAGCATTTACTGCCATACAGAAGGACATATACCACGTAACAGTTTAGTACTTTATTCTTTCTTTCTAACAAAGATTTTCTGTTTCCTAATAATCTGTTTAGCTTTTGGAATGCATCTTTGGTTGAGTATAAGTTTAATTTCTATTTTCGTTGTCTCTGAAATATGGTCGTTGCTCACATTATCGTTCCATGGTATCCTCAGCATCCTTCTGTAGGGCAGATGCAACTTAAATATTTAACATCGTGTTTTCGAGCATTTTGAACGGTAAACGTCGAACATTTGATCACGTGATATCTTTATAGTAATTAGATATAAATTCACAATAATTACGAGGCTCGAAGCACAAAGAATGCGAGAAATGCTTCAGGTGAATCTTCTAATTAATACTTTTAATGGAGATATGAAAGGATCCGTTGATTCCAAGAATGAATTGATTGAGAGGGAAGAAATAATTAAACAAATAAATATAAATCCTACCAATCGGTTGAGATATTGTCTAATCTACCAACCAAATCCATCATTCGTTAAGCTATCAAATACGTTTCGAACAATCCAAGTAATTCCCTGGCCTTCGTCTGCTACAATCCGTAAAGATATCACGTAACAGTTTAGTACTCTTTTCTTTTTTTCTAGCAAGGTTTTTCGGTTACCCAATATTCTGCTTAGCTTTTGGAATGCCTCTTTGTCATGTATAAGTTTTCTTTCTGTTTCCGTTGTCTCTAAAACATGGTCGTTGCTCACATATTCGGTGCATGGTATCCTCAGCATCCTTCTGTAGAGCCACACCAGTATGTTAAATCATGATAAACCGAAGACATATTCACTTGATGCAATCTTGTCTTCCGTCAGTGCGCATTCTGTACGCTATTTAATAACCTGCTCATTTCATTAAGATTTCAAATGTTGTAGTGTTCTGCTTGAATTTAAGGAAATATTTTTGAAACTTGCATAAGTATTAATTACTGACGCCAATGCATCAAGTTAAGGACAGTGATTTAAATTTAAACAAATGCAAATAAAACTTTGACATTTGAGCAGATGCAACTTGAATATTTAACATCGTGTTTTCGAGCATTTTGAACGATAAACGTCGAACGTTTGATCCCGTAGTTTCTTTATAGTAATTAGATATAAATTCACAATAATTACGAGACTCGAAGCACAAAGAATGCGATAAATTCTTCAGGTGAATCTTCTGATTATTACTTTTCAAGGTGACATGAAAAGATGCGTTGATTCCAAGAATGAATTGATTGAGAGGGAACAGTTCATTAAAGTGTTTCCTATTATTAAGCTCATAATTCTCTCTTTTGAAGAGGGAATAACCAGGAGCAATTCTTCAAGAAAGTGGAATAAATAAATACTGACGTTAATTTCCTCTTCATCTTCTCAGAAGGTGAAGGTTGGGCGTGGGTATTCCCCAGATTCATGGGGTGGAATGGGTCATTACCCTACCACGGTGGACGAATGCCTGTCGTTAGGGACGAATGTGACACGCATGGGAGAACATGCATCATTTCGATTTAGGGTCGCCAAAGGGTATTTGCGTATCTGGATGTAACGAATACATAACCCGTCTCTCTGATTGATCATTTCGAGCCACTGCACTACCGGCACATCCAAATTTACAACACATATTATTAGCAAGCGGTCACACATCGAGTTAAAAACCAGGGCCAACGTTGCTTAACTTCGGTATTTGAACGTGATACGGCAGTAAGCATTGTGTGAATAGATGGCAAAGAGAGAAAAGGTGCTAAGGTCCACGAAGGATGAGAAATATTATGGAGCCAAGAAGAAGAAGAAGAAGAAATGATTTCCTAAAGAAAAAGGAGAAATTATTTCCTGAATAACAGGAAGAATGAGAAATTATTTCCTGAATAATAGAAAGAATGAGAAGTTATTTCATGAAGAAGAAAAAAAAATGATCTCCTAAATATGAAGAAGAAGAAAAAGAAGGAAAAGAAGAATGTGAAGAAATGATTTGCTAAAGGAAACGAACAAGAAGAATGGGAAGAAATAATCTCCTAAAGGAGAAGAAGAAGCAGAAGATGATGAAGAAGAAGAAGAAGAAGAAGAAGAAGAAGATGAAAAGGAAGAAAAAGAAAGAGGAAGATTATGAAGAAATGATTTGCTAAAAGAGACGAATAAGAAGAAGGAAATGAAATAATCTCCTAAAGAAGAAGCAAGCAGAAGAAGAAGAAGAAGAAATAAGAAATGACTTGCTAAAGGAGACGAACAAAAAGAATGAGAAGAAATGATCTCCAAAATAATAATAAAAAAGAAGAAGACGAAGAAATCATTTCCTAAAGAAAAGGAAGAATAAAAACAAATGATCTGAAGAAGAAGAAGAAGAAGAAATTATTTCCTAAAGTAGACGAAGATTAAGAAGAAACGATATCCTGAAGCAGAAGACGAAAGAAAAGAAAAAGAAGTGAGTTCCTTAAGAAGAAATCATTTCCTAAAGAAGACAAAGAAGAAGAGGAAGCATGAGAAGAAATGATGTTCCAAAGAAGAAGAATGAGAATGAGAAAAAGAAAAAGAAAAAGGAAAAGAAGAAATGATTTCCTAAAAAAGACGAAGAATAATGAGAAATGATATCCTGAAGTAGAAAACAAACAACAGCAACAACAAGAAATGATTTCTTGATGAAGAAGAAGAAAAAGAAGAAGAATGAGAAAAAAAAAACGATCACATAATGAGGAAAAAGAAGACGATGAAATGATCTCCAGGAGATGAAGTAGAAGAAGAAGAAGGAGAAGGGAAAGAAGAAGAAATGATCTCAAGAAGATGAAGTAGAAGAAGAAGAAGATGAGAAGAAAAAGAAAAACGTGAAGAAGGAGAAATTGTCTTCTAAAGCAGAGGAAGAATAAAAAGAAAAATGATCTCCTGAAGAAGAAGAAATGATCTCCTAAAGAAGACGAAGAAGAAGTAAAGGAAGAATGAGAAGAAATGATCTCCTAAGGAAGAAGAAGAAGGACAAATTATTTGCTAAAGAAGAGGAAAAACACGAAATGATATCAATAGTAACAATAATAATAATAATAATAATGATAATAATAAGATAATGATGGGGATTATAATGATATATGATGATGAAAGGATCTCCAGAAGATGAGGAAGAAGAAATGATTGCAAGAATAAGAAGAACAACGACAACAACTACAACAATAACTACAACAAAAAGGGAGCAATTATTTCCTAAAAAAAGAAGAAAGAATAAGAAAAAGTGTTTTCCTAAAGCAGAAGACGAAGAAGATGAAGAAGAACGAGAAATTATTTCCTATAGAAGGCAAAGAATAAAAAAAATGATATCCTGAAGCAGAAAAAGAAGGAGAAAAAAAAGAAAAAGAAAAAATGATCTCATGAAAAGAAATGATTTTCTTCAGATGAAATGGTTTTCTTTAGAAGAAATGATCTCTTAAAGAAGACGAAGTTCCAGAGGAGGAATGAGAATAAATGATTTCCTAAGGAAGAAGTAGAATACGATGATGAAGAAGTAAGAGAACTTACTTCGTAAAAAGAGAAACAGTAAAAAATGACAAATGAAGTAGAAGAAGAAAAGCAAGAAGAACTAGAAGATGAAATGATAAAAAGAAGAAAAAGAAAGAGAAGAAGAAGAAAAAGAAGGAGAAATAATCTCCAGAAGAAGAAGAAAAAAAAAGAAAAGAAGAAAAAATCTCCAAAGAAGAAGAAGAAAAAGAAAAAATAATCTCCAGAAGAAGAAAAAGAAAAAAGAAAAGGATAAATAATCTCCAGAAGAAGAAAAAAGAAAAAAGAAGGATAAATAATCTCCAGAAGAAAGAAAAAAGAAAGAAGATAATCTCCAGAGAAGAAGAAGAAGAAAATAAAAAGAAGAAGAAAAAAGGAGAAATAATCTCCAGAAGAAGAAGAAGAAGAAGAAAAGAAGGAGAAATAATCTCCAGAAGAAGAAGAAGAAGAAGAAGAAGAAGAAAAAATAATCTCCAAGAAGAAGAAGAAGGAAAAATAATCTCCAAGAAGAAAAAAAGAAAAAAAATCTCAGAAAAGGAGAAATAATCTCCAGAAGAAGAAGAAGAAAAAGAAGGAGAGATAATCTCCAGAAGAAGAAGAAAAAGAAGACGAAATAATCTCCAGAAGAAGAAGAAGAAGAAGAAAAAGAAGGAGAAATAATCTCCAGAAGAAGAAGAAGAAGAAGAAGAAGAAATAATCTCCAGAAGAAGAAGAAGAAGAAAAAGAAGGATAAGTAATCTCCAGAAGAAGAAGAAGAAGAAAAAAAAGAAGGATAAATAATCTCCAGAAGAAGAAGAAGAAAAAGAAAAAGAAGGATAAATAATCTCCAGAAGAAGAAGAAGAAAAGAAGAAGAAAAAGAAGGAGAAATAATCTCCAGAAGAAGAAGAAGAAGAAGAAAAAGAAGGAGAAATAATCTCCAGAAGAAGAAGAAGAAAAAGAAGGAGAAATAATCTCCAGAAGAAGAAGAAGAAGAAAGAAGAAAAAGGAGAAAAAAAGAAAAAGAAGGATGAAATAATCTCCAGAAGAAGAAGAAGAAAAAAGAAGGAGAAATAATCTCCAGAAGAAGAAGAAAAAAGAAAAAAAGAAAAATAATCTCCAAGAAGAAGAAGAAGAAAAAAAAAGAAGGAAGAAATAATCTCCAGAAAATAATCTCGAAAGAAGAAGAAGGAGAAATAATCTCCAAGAAGAAGAAGAAAAAAGAAGAAAAAAAGAAAAAAAGAAGGTTAAGTAATCTCCAGAAGAAGAAGAAGAAAAAAAAAAAAAAAGGATAAATAATCTCCAGAAGAAGAAGAAAAAAAAAAAAAGGATAAATAATCTCCAGAAGAAGAAGAAAGAAGAAGAAAAAATCTCCAGAAGAAGAAGGAAAAGAAATAATCTCAAGAAGAAGAAGAAGAAGAAGAAAAAGAAGGATAAATAATCTCCAGAAGAAGAAGAAGAAGAAGAAGAAAAAGAAGGATAAATAATCTCCAGAAGAAGAAGAAGAAGAAAAAGTAGGAGAAATAATCTCCAGAAGAAGAAGAAGAAGAAGAAGAAATGATATCCTGAAGCAGAAGGATAATTATTTCATTATGGTTGCAAAGGTTGTAGTTTCTGCTTGAATTTAAGGAAACATTTTCGAAACTTGCATAAGTATTAATTACTGCCGCATCAAGTTAAGGACAGTGATTTAAATTTAAACAAATGCAAATAAACCTTTGACATTTGAGCAGATGCAACTAGAATATTTAACATCATGTTTTCGAGCATTTTGAACGATAAACGTCGAACATTTGATCACGTGATATCTTTATAGTAATTAGATATAAATTCACAATAATTACGAGACTCGAAGCACAAAGAATTCGCGAAATGCTTCATGTGAGTCTTCTGATTATTACTTTTAATGGAGACAAAAAATAATCCGTTGGTTCCAAGAATGAACTGATTGAGAGGGAAGAAAAAGATTAAACAATCAAATATAAATCCTACCAATCTAAAATCGGTTGAGATATCGTCTCATCTACCAACTAAATCCATCATTCGTTACTGGTTATGCTATTAAATACGTAACGACCAATCCAAGAAATTTTCTGGCCTCCGTCGGCTACAATGCGTAAAGATTTAGTAACTAGTGTTTCTGTACTGCGAGGTTGAATTATAAATAACTTACCTTTTATTTAATCAACATTAGTAGTCTGGTGCCCTCGCTAAATATCTCGGGATTATTGACAAACGTAAAGAAGTGTAATTATTTCAGGCCTAGCATTTCGATTTCCGTCACTTTCCCACAGCCGTGACACAGCTTCTATATGTCCTTTCTATGAATATTTTCATGGCAATTGTTCTAACGAGCTTTCCTACTTGGTGCTTTGACTGTAAGAATTTAAAAATGCTACTAGATCGGCAACTAAGTCTCTCTGTTTACTGTTGAACTAACTAGATGCAACCGTCAATTCTATTTTAATAGTTTCTTTTCCCACACTTTCTTGATTCCTTACCAATTACAATCTAAAATTTTATATGCAACACCTACCACCATTTTCTATGTCATGTTCACGATTTTCTGTCTTCCCATTTTCTGTTTTTTTATTGTCCTTTCTCTACACGTGATCCCCGCTAAAGTTTTCCCATTCCTTACTATCCCTTGCATCTTAGTGGCATTATCGCCTTGCTTGGGTTGAAATGATTAAATTTTAAAGAAAAAATAATAATTCTTTTTTTTTTAATCTGAAATGCTAATTTCATCCGAGCAATAATGGCAGAATGTGTTCCTTCAGTCATGGAAATTTTAAAATGCATTTTTTTTCCATTTATTTTTTCTGTAGAAACAAAGAATATATTGAGTCATAAGATGTTTTGTTTGTTCGCCTTGCAAAAATTATTTTGTTAAAATTTTCTTTGCAACAAAAAAAAAGTCATTTGTATTTTTTTCATCTCTACCTGACAATTCGAAGAAATCTTAATATGTGACTTTATTTTTTATTCGTTTTCTCTGTTTCTGAAAGCAAATCTGGAGATAACTTTTTTGTTTCTTTTTTAATTAATTATATCAGGTGAAAGAAGAACGCGACTTCTAACTCACGCTATACACTTGGCAGCTTTTAGATGTTATAAAAGAAAGCCGTTTTGTGTGAAGAAAAAATTTGCTTCATTTTGTAACTCAGAATCATTTTTTCTTTCGTTTTACTTCTTCGGATTGAAGATAATTGAATGTGTCACCACTTTGCGAATATTTTTGTAAACTTAATATATTTTTATTTCGTCATGTTAACAAGACCACGCAGACTTCAACTAGAGAGCTCTTGTTAAGGTCAACGATGTCCTTTTGCGTGCAAGAAAATTGATTTTATCAGTCCAAGCACCCGTCATAAAATCCTACCTTGATTGTAAGATTGTCCTTCACATTTTTTTAATAATCAGGATTTCCCCTTTCTTAATCGGAAAAGCAGACAAATGCAATTATATTTAATATCAAAGATATGACAAGAATATTTTTAAAATTTTTTTAATCCTACATACCGGAGTCGGTATAAATGTTTACTTATTGTTTAAACATAAAAAATTATCTATTATTTAAAATAAAATCATACATATTCTTAAAAATAGTTTCGAATTTAGCATAACGCCTCTAATAATCTTTTTTTTATGATTTACAGTTTAATTAAATATGGCGGCTCAAACAAAACGCGATCAAATTTTTACATTGAAAATTGCTCGTATGAAAAATTGTAAATTGATAAAATAGTTGAATGTAAGCAGAAAAACTGTTTTTAAAGTGTGGATGAAGTTTCAAGATCAACAACCTCACCAAATCCAAGATTCACTCCATACCACGAGAGTCGTTGAAACCGTCAAGAATAGGGTGAAGAGGAATCCATGAAGAAACATGAAGAAGATGACAAAAGAACTGGACAGGTCGCTAGAGAAGATCGTGAACTAGGATTTAGGGATATAACCTACTGTTTGGCAACTTGATCTCAAGTGCCTCCAGGCAAAAACGGCTTGGTAGGGCCAAAAGGTATTCGTTTTGGTCGGACGAAAAGTCTTTCCTAGTGGTCAACTAGCAAAACGATAGGGCTTACGGCATTTCAATAGGAAACATTCCTGAAGGGTTCAGAGTTGCAATTCAAGTGAAAGAAATCAACTTGTATTATGGTGTAGACTGGTGTTGCTTCTAATGGTTTGAAATCGCTCTTGGTTTTCATTGAAGAACGAGTGAAAATGAATAGCAAAGTTTACCAGCAAATGCTGGAGTGAAATGTGCTGCTGTCGTTATCAGCCATATTTGAAAGTTGCTATGTCTTCAATCAAGGCGGGACGCCAGCACACACAGCCAATTTGACGTAGAAATGGTGTAAGTGACATTTCCGTGGATTTTCTTTAACAAAATTTGGCTTCCATCAAGCCCTGGCATTCATACTATGGACTTCGTGATATGGCTCATATTGGAGAGCGTTGTTTCACGTAACTCATGCTCAAGTGCGTCAGACCTAAAATAAAGTATTATGGCGTTTAGTAAAAGACATCTTCAGTTGAGAAGAGATTAAGGGACATGGTGAAAGAAAATGGCGGTCATATTTGAATTCTAGATATATGTAAAATATTGTCAATATGTATAACAATCAACCTCTAAACTTTCACTAATCAATAACCTAAACCATTTTATCTTATGATTAAATGCAAAATGTCAGTAACGCCTTAAAATAATTCATAAAATATGACAATCCATCCCATCTGGTTTTTTCAATGGATTTCTATCGTAAAATTATGCTTTTCTATGTCAAAATTATATGAAATTAATATATTTAAAAAAATCATTTTAAATGCAATTCCTTAAAAAATTATATGCAAGCCATATTGAAATTAAATGTTTATGTTTTAAGCAAACATTCGACATTCATTGACCAGTCATCAACTTCTTAATATTGGTGGTTATTTTTTTCTAAAGCTTTTGTTTTTCTATTATGGAAGGTTAACAACATGGTCATTGTTACAACACGTGAAGGCCAGGGGCAAAATAGTCATCGATTGGCTGGAATGCCTCGTGGGCAGGGCATTCTGACAGTGATGCATTGTCTTTGTCTGGGTTTTGAATATAAGTCCAAAACGGCGCGAATTCACCAGAGTGTCTCAAGAATTCTGAAGCGTCGATATACCACCCAGACCCAGGTTTGCGACCGGCTAATTCTATCCGCGGGAGGACGCTGAGCTAATGTGCAACATGCGTCCCTGTGACATCAGTCTTCCTAATGCCCCTCAGAATCCAAGCTGTCACTCTTAATAAATGAATACCAAAAACAAATGATATTTTGATTCCTTGATACCGTTTTATATAGTAGCGTAAGGATCCCGATGATACACAGAATGCAACATTCTATCATTATTATCTTCTAGGGATATATGATAACCATCTTTGTTGTTGGTGCTGTTGAAAGGATTCAAAATTATGGTAGTTTTGGCTATTTGGTATAGCTTTTTGTGATTTTGTAACGCCAGACATTCAGGAAGGATCGTCTCGTTTAAGATTTAAAATCATTCAACTATTATTCATTTTATCTCATCTTTAAATCATTTCACCCCAAACAAGACAATGAAGCCACTAAGATGCAAGGACTATCGAGTGTTAGATAATATGAGAAAAAATACTATCAAAGAGAGAGAACAATAAATGAACAAGAATTAAGAAGACAGAAGATAACGATTGAGATTGCAATTAATTTTTTGAAACTGACTGAGAAGCAACAAGCCGGAAGAGAGTTCCACAAGCAAAAAGACGAAACTATTAGCATAGCACTTACGGTTACATCTAATCATGTAAACTGTACAAAGATGAGACCTTTCAGCCAATCTAGTACAGTGCTTAAATTCATCAAATCTAGGTACCATAGCGGAAAGTTCATAAGAACAGTTACCATGAAAGTATTCATAGAAAAATCACATGGAAGCTATAATACGGCGGTGGGAAAGTGACTAAAGCTGAGATGCCAGATCAGGCCCATTAACATGGCATATTCTTCATTGAATTTTATCAAGAATCTTTAAATATATAGCAGGAGCACTAGATCAGACGTGGCAGCAATATTTAAAGGACGAATGGTAGACTTATAAATATGTAAGATATATTCTGGGGAGAAAGATTTTCTAGCACGACACAGTGAACCAACCTTCTTTTGTAATTCTTTACGAATCTTCGCCGCCACTTTTGTGATGTTTGACGGCTTCGCTTGTCACTTTTGCTATGCCAAGCGAAAGCCCGTTATCACTTCCCAAAATGCTTGATACATTCGACACTTCGTAGACGGCCGTACTGGTACTAAAGCCTTCCAATTATATCCGCACTAGTAATACTTGTTCAAGTAATAATTGTCAAATAGTATAATGATCAGAATAGAATGAACTTATAGCAATAGTAGTGGGGAGACAAGAAAGGTGAACAGTGAACAGTATAGTTGATAGAGGATAAATAGTGATCATTACGCTACTTTATATTTATTCACTTCCTTTATGATCACGTGATCTACTTAATAATGGAACGCCCGTGTTACTCACAGGCGATCTAGTTTCAAACCACAGCGTCAGCAATGACCCTTACTTTTATACAATCCTTCCAAACAGTAGACCTAGCAATTGCATAAATATAATTTTTCTACGTCCTGTCAGCGGAAAACATTTGTCGTAGAAGGCGCAATCGGTCCCTATCCTGGAGGTTAGCATCAGCCATCCTAATGCTAACGAGAAGGTTTGTTCCACGCGATTAAACGAAAGCAGTTTTGTTGATCATAAAACAAAATGTTTCAGGCTTTGATTATTGAAAGTTTACACGTTGAGTGCTATATTTATTGACAAGATTTTAATAACTGACTCGAGGAACTAAAATG